CCCCCCCCCCCACACACACACACACAACACACACACTGTCTGCAGGGGTTGGCCTGATCTTTCCACAGGTAGTTGTGGTTTAGCATTGGCAGGCTCAGGAGCCTTGGAAGGTAGCGTCGTCAACTTAGGCTTGTGTGAACTGGTGGTTTAAACACAAGAGATTCTACAAGAGCCCTCGTGCGATGCCGGAAGCACTACTGCTAAGAGCAAAGATGGCCCGTCGGATTTACACCAAAATTAATCCATAATCGCTTGTCTTTCCATTGCCATGTGCTCCAAAAACAAAGATGAGCTGTGGGAGTTACACTCACAGCTACCCCCACATTTATCCCAACAGTTAATACCCACCGTTACACGGGTAAACCCCAAGTTAAGACTGTCTCGAGTCCCAGGTGACAGGAGTTCCCGACGAGACAACAGTGGCTCAAACATACAGACACCGAATGACCATAACCCCCATCACTCAAAATTCCACCAGTAATAAATGCATCAAACCAACACCAGGCTATGCCATGAAAAATTGCCCACAACATACATTTGTATTATAGCCGCTGCTCTACTGGCTAAAGCACCTCAGAACTCCCACCACACACCATGTATTCCGAAATGCATACCCAGGGGAATCTCACTGGCAGCACAGACTCGCTGACTCCACCTACAAGTTAGTACGAACATGCAATGGCACCAGGCAACGACTTGAACTCCCCATGCTAAGGAGCCTCCATGCAACACCAATGGTGTGGGCCCCCCATCGAGCACCAGGTGCACTACTCATTACGGCATCCTGGTCGTTCACAGTCATGTGCTCTGCAATGGGCAGCCTGTGGGAATGACAGCCACAATGCGCACTCTTTGCTTCCTCACAGGGATTTCATGGCTGCAAAACTAATGTAAGTTACAAGAATAACCTAATCAATCTGAATCACAATATAATATGTACAATAAATCAAACATCCATATTGATAATTATACTAATCTGATTATGTTATAAATAATATAAATACAATATCAATATATATCGTCAAACAGAGCTGCCCGGTAAACCGTAGGCAGAGAGGGAGAAGAGGACAACAAATGAGGTGCTGCACCAAAACTGTTTCGTTGGAGTTTCACCGACTGACTAATCAGGAGGAGGCTGAACGCTCAACAGTCTCCAGAATCCCCTAACTGATTACACTGTAAGTGATAATCCACGTCAACCCCGGTTGTGGTTAAGCATCAACGACTGCCCAACAACTGATACCCTAAGGTGGCCACCAACCACTGCCCTCAAGGTACTTGTGATGAAAATAAAATCAGACTATTACTCACCCACACCAGATGGAAAACTCTACAGACTGTCAGTTCACACCCCATCACAAGCCGGCGAAACACCCACGAAACAAAGAAAGGTCTGTCACAACCAAAAAATACACTCTAGAGTCTAGACATGCCGCTGGCACTAGAGGCACAACATTGCCGCGTAGTGACGGCCCCGACCACTGCCGCTCAACCTGACCGGAGAAAACTGGAGCAGGGTGCTAGCGAAGTTGTGGTATATATCGCCAAATAGAGCTGCCCGGTAAACTGTAGGCAGAGAGGGAGAAGAGACAACAACCTGGGGGCTGTGACAAACTGTTTCGTAGGAATTTTACCGACTCATCAGGAGGCTGAACCCTCAAAAGTCTGCAGAATCCCCTATTTGATTACATTGTAAGTGATAATCCACCTTAACCCCGGCTGTGGTTAAGCATCAAGGACTGCCCAACAACTGATACCCTGAGGTGGGCACCAGCCATTGCCCTCAAGGTACCTGTGACGAAAATCGAAGCAGACTATCACTCACCCACACCAGATTTATGTCGTCCCCGCCTACAACCAGAGGATTGTAATTATACCAGGGAAAGAGGCTTTACCATTGCTGTTCTACAAGTAGCAATGAGGGACCACCAACTTGAACTACGCAATGCTTGTAGCATGCCTCTGACCACTGGGAGCTGTGGAACAACGGCGTCCTGGTCCATGCCATGATTGATGTTACTGATTTCTTACATAATGATGCCGTTTTCTTGCCACCGTCCGCAATCTCTCGTATGTCGAAGATCATTCCTCTGGCCCCGTGCTGCAGCAGGACAATGTACCAACGCTCTGCGACCTTCTCCTTTGCACAACTATAAACACTGTTACACTTGGCTGTAGCCGCCATCGTCTCTGTCACAATCACTACAATGACATGGTTTCTGCATCCACGTAGGGGTTCTTAATACGCACCACTGGAGCAGACTACTCTGGAATGGCACAAAAGGCCAGTCAGTGTTTGGGTTGCAGGAGATTTTGAGTTGAGCTGCCATTGCCTATGGTAAGTAGCCACCTGTGCAGACCGGACAGGGCCGGTTCGAGTGTGGACGGTGGAAGCACCGTATCCAGTTCTCGCATTTGCAGTTGCTGCATCAAATGGCAAGGCCTAGACAGATGCCACAGGCAAGGTGGCTCCTACATGCTAGGAACACAGAGGCACGCCGACCTCAACTATATAGGGATTGTGGTTCCGGCCCCTGTCTATAAATTGGACATCACATGTCAGGGTACCGTACATGAGTGCAATGCTGACTGTCATCATACGTATGAAAACAAAAACTTGCATGGGCTATGCCTTCATAATCGTCATGACACCAAGGATGCGAATCACATGCTAGCTGAATCTCAGGGGTCCCATCACAAAGCGGCATTGAGCGAGTTTTTTCTTGTGTTTCTGCAGTCATTGTTCCCTCTCTATGGGAAGATGACGATGAGGGCTGATCCAAAGTAAGGGTGTTCAGCTGTTGCAAACTGTTGGTGTTTCATGTGATAGTTTATTTTCCACCTGAGGCTGCTGTGTCTGTTCTTTGTCCGGCAAGGATGAAGGAACAGGTGTATGCCCAGCGCTGCATGTGGGACATACTAGGAGAATTTGTGGTGGGTAATGGCATCGGGGATAGTCCACGCAGTAGAGACACATTCGTTCAATGACAGCTTTCTGGAAACATTGACGACACATGGCATGTTGCTGACATGTTGGCAGGAAAGCAGGCTGATGCTCACAGCTATTTAAGCATGGCACGCCAAGGCCACAACGGCATATCGGCAGGAGGGGGGGGGATGAGTGCAACAACAGATTGTAGTTTTCAGGGCAGAGACTGGCAGTGACCATCACCTCATAGTGTTCGGAGCAGAGATTATGCTGTGTGCATGCTAACCAAACTGTAGCTGTGTTTGGACACAATGGTGTGGCACAACCACCATCCTTCGGAAAGGCCCCTTCACTATCTGTGGTAGAATCTGTCCGATCTACACAGGGAAGGTACACTGCCGGACCATGTACACGGGAGGAGGGAGGTTCAGCTCGATTTTTCTCCGGAGGCTGTAAAACTTGTGAAGGCACATCCCCATACTGTTCCTGATTGACCAGCCAGACTGAGTGGGATTTTGCCACTACCGCCTTCATGCGAATAGAACGCCCGGTCATTATCGCCGCATCTGGACCGAAAGTTGTGCCAAATACAGCTATAATGACCGGGCGTTCTATTCGGGTGAAGACGGTAGGTCATAGAAAGAGTTTATATTCCCCAGCGTGTGCACCGCACCGCCGTTGTTCCCATAGGGTCCATGGATTATCCGCAAGGGTAACAAGACTGAAATGACCTGGATGATGCAGGATGTACGCACGAATATTCGGGTCCGTGTCTCGCATGTAACACTGAAAACTCCATGGAGCGTGCTGGAGTTGCAGTCTTCCCATAAATGCCATAGACAGGACTTCTATGCTCATGCCAGGTGCAGAACTGTTATTCTCTGGGCAGACAGCACGGTGCTCTTCTTCTGTCCAGCGGACAATGTCTCCAAAATCAGAAACAGTATACGGGTTGCAATTGTAAGCGAGGAGACATACATTAATTTCATAGTACGCACAGTGGCCTCGCTGTGGCACCGTGAGATCATTTGAGTCTGCAGATTGCGCGACAGGGGAAGGTTCGTGTGTGTGTGTTGGTATTTTTCGCTATACAGAATTCCACAAAAAAAAGCATGACTGTGCCAGACTGTTTCATTGGACCTTCAATGACTCATCAGAAAAATGAACCCCGACAGTTTGCCCAGGATGCATTTGACTGATGGATAAGGACTCAAATGTTGCCCAGATTAGCGATACCCCTGAGAAAAGTATGTGTGTGTGTGTGTGTGTGTGTGTGTGTGTGTGTGTGTGTGTGTGTGTGTGTGTGTGTGTGTGTGCTCACAGGCCTCCACAGTCATGAACTATACCCTGAGGTAAACTGAAGGGTGCCCTGGGGGGAAAAAGAATTGGCTGATCTGGCAAACTTCAGGTAGAAGTAATCTAGCAGAACCTGCTGGGTCTCATGGGAATGTAGGTGTTATTAGTATTAATACTATTAAATTAATAGTATTTAATACTTAGCTCGTCCTGGTCCGAGGATTTCTTCTATTGAGTTGCATCCCTTTTTGGTGACTGTTTGCAGTACTGGGAAGGAGGCTTCATGTGCCCGCTTTTCTGTGGATGGCTCGTTGCTTGCTGTCTCTGATACAGCTGGCATTGTGGAGGTGAGTCCGCAGTCTCTCTCCCCTCCTCCTTCTCCTCCTCCTCCTCCTCCTCCTCCTCATCATCATCATCATCATGGTCATCATCTTATTATTTCGAAAACTAGTACACTAGGCACAAAGTGCTATTGTTTTTTGAACAAGCAGTGGTTGTTTGATAAGATTTTAAATGATTTCATAGCTAAATCATTTTTTATGTTTTGGGTGCGAATTCCACACTGTGAGAAACATCATAACCTTTTCCCTCATCCTCAGTATCATCATCATTATCATGTTGCTTCTTCTACTACTACTACTACTACTACTACTACTACTACTACTACATACATGATGCATCTTTTTTCTTTTTCTGAGTTTTCTTAATTTTCAAATACATCTGCATTTATATGTGAGCATGTATGAAATGTATGGCAGCCACATAGACTGCTGCTGTGAACTTCTGTGCAATGAAAATGTACCAGGAGTCCAGGACTGAGTGGGGCATATTATAACTTGGAGGTTGGAAGTGAAAAAAAAAAAAAAAAAAGAGAAAGTCAAATCTGTCAAAGTGAATTGAAAAAATAATAATAACAATTAGAAATTGAAAGTCAAGTCCTTCGGGACATCCGTTAAAATTGGAACGATACAGAGAATGAAGATTAGCATGGCCCCTGCCTAAAGGATGACACATAAATCGAGAAATGGTCCCCCCCCAAAAAAAAGAAGGGGGGGGAAGGAAAAAAATAAAAAAAAAAATAAAAAATGAAAGTCAAAAGCAACCAGACTGATGCCCCGCACAATAGAAGGGGCCTTGTGTTGATTGGGGAAAAAAAAAAAAGAAGAAGTCAAAAATGTCGAAGTGAATGCCAAAAACAAAAGCAGCACCTAGGTGGGTGTGTGCACGTGTTTGTGGCTGTCTCTTATACACATCTAGATGTGTATAAGAGACAGGAGAGAGAGAGAGAGAGAGAGAGAGAGAGAGAGAGAGAGAGAGAGAGAGAGATGGGCGGATGGATGGATGCACATATATGGACAAACAACAGGCAGGCAAGCAGGCAGGAGAGCAGGCACACTCACGAGTGGGTGGGTGCGTGTGTGCGCGGGCAGACTGGCAGGTGTGCAGGCGGGCAGGTGTGTGCACGGGCGGGTAGATGGATTGCTTTGCCTGTTGCGAGCAAGAGGCATGCCACGGAGGCATAAGCTGCATAATGCATCCAGAACGACATTGATAAAAAACAAATTCTGAAGCCCTGAACCAACAGAGAAAGTGTCCAAGGGCCTTTCAGTGGCCTGGATCTAGGAGGTCTAATCTCTAAAACCAAGAAACCGAAACGGGTACCTTTTTTTTCCCTTTTGCTTTTCGTAGGGCATCTCACGTTTTACATTGTGCAATTCTCTTGTAGCTTGGTAAGCGGCTCTGTGCATTATGTGATCTCCAGGCCCTTTTCGAGTCAGGACTCAGGACCAGTTCGCGGCTCATTGGTGGCGTCAAATGACTGCACCAGGGTGCCATTATGAGAGAAAAAAAATAATTACAGTGTGAATTCCACTGACTGTTCAGCAACCATTCTTGGCGCAGCTGTCATGAGGGGTGCTAAAATCAAGCATCGGTACTGGTACTACTGGGAGAATGGAACAACTACAATGGGACTGTATTGGGACCAGGAGAAACTGTGTGAGGGCGTTAATGGGATGATCATATCATGAAATTTCATGATAGTATCATGATACATACAAGTCTCAGACTCAGTAGGCGTGGATTAAAAAAAAAAAAGAAAAAAAAGAAAAAAGAAAAAAGAAGAAGAAAGAAAGAAAGAAAGAAAGAAAAGAAAAGAAAAGAAAAGAAAAGAAAAGAAAGAACCTTATTGTCCTGGCTCCATATCCATTTTGGGGAGCATCAGTCCGGTTCCTATTCCACCGGCCAAGTCAGAAGCGATTACGAAAGAAAACTCACGCACCCTCCGCCCCATTAAACTGTTGAGAGGCCCGAGTGGACGGCATTGATTGCCTGAATTTACCTCCCTTAGGAAGGATGTACCACCCCCTCCCCCCTGCCTAAGGGTGTGGATATTCTTTTACCCCTCTGGATCTCTGACTGCATCAGTATTCGAAATCCTGATCTGTTTTTTAACAGCTACATTTATATGCCATTCACAATTTCACACACATGGGCTGGGTGGGCTTGAGAACTATGTTAGTATGTTGGCATACACGTGGGTGACATGGTTGGTTTTTTACAGCCAGAAATGTGCTAAGCCCTTAGCAGTGTTAGCACCTATGTTACCAGAGTGGCCCGGGACCACGTGTCCGGCCGGGCCAAAAATGAATTAAAAATAATAATATATATATAATATTTTATATTTGTGACGATATATATACATATATTTTTTTTTCCCAAAGAATTTTGGTCGGACCCTGAGGCAAAAGTTGTTCAGTTTGTTTTTCTGCACAAACTTTTTTTTTTTTTTCGGACTCTGTTTTTTTGCTGCTGCTTTTTTTTTTCTCTTTTTTTACAGGGACCTTCCCTGGTCCTTGCCCGGCCGGGGGGCCCAGTCAAACAACGTGACCCGGGCGGCCCGGTTTATAACACAGCTCTTACACAGACAACACAGACAGGGTGTGGTCTTTACTCTCCGTGAGTGTATGAGTAGTCTTTAACTGAATGTCTTGGGCCGTGGTGGGTGGGTAGAGAGGCAAGGGGGGGTATGAGGGGGGGGACCATGAGGGGGGTTTGGGACGGGGGTGGAGGGTGATTTAACGGCGGGTTGGACGGGGTTGTTCAACTTGGAATTGCTGTGACAGGTTTACAGAGTATCCACGGGTGAGCGACTTCATGTGCTAGATCCTGGGCCAGAAAGGGAAAAGCGACCGTGCACAGCCATTCGCTTCCGGCCTAGCTCGGGAACGGAACTGACAAGGAACGTCCTCATCTCCTGTGGTATGGCTCTTCTTACACACTGTTATTGGTTCCTTAGACGACCAGTAAACTTGGGCCAGCTATCGGCCGCGGAAAAAAAACGGAGAGAGAAAATAGAGCAGAAACGTTTCTAGTCGGATGAATTTGGGCGCTCCTCTAGTGGCCTGTACGTTTCCTAAAACGGTGGCAGCCTGTTAACGGGCACGACTTTATTGTTCCTTAAATCACTGGTACACGGCCCCGGCCTTTGGCAGTCCGAAACTTGTCGCCACAAGCAAACGGGGCCAGAACGGAACGTCAAAAACGCTGGGCATAAATGCCATTGCAAAATTGGATCGGCGGTCGCGTTTTTCKTTTCGCGCTTCCAGAAGTCGAGGTGTCAGGCCCGCGGCGCCGGTGCCCGTGTACTGGTGCTTTCACAACTGCTCCCGTCGTAGTGCAAATTTTGATGCGGTGTAACCGTTGTTTCCTACTACCCAGGATATTCTGAGCAGAAAAAAAAGCATTTCAAGCACATGATTATATGAGCTATGGTGTGCACATTGATTAGTAGGCAATGGTGTGCACATTGATTAGTAGTAGTGCTCTCACATAAGTAAGTGGGGATGCGTTGTTTAAACTCCACAGTGCCAGCACGGCACTTCATCATTGCAGTACTCAAGAAATGTGAAGCAGTGAAGCGTAAATGGCATCGAGAAGGACGAGAACTATGAAGAGTCATTGTGGCAGGGTGTGGTGTAGGCTCTTTTCGAGCAAATTCTGTGTGTGTGTGTGTGTGTGTGTGTGTGTGTGTGTGTGTGTGTTTTGCAGATTGTGGATGCAAAAAAAGAAAAGAAAAAAAAGAGAGTCCAAATATGAAAACAAAAATGAAGAACGGCGATGCTGGCTGGAGTATCTGTGTGGGGTTACTCTAGTTTATTGTATTTGCACATTGTGTCCTCCGTGAGAGCAAAGCCTCGCATAATGTGCTATCTTTCTACATGAATGGTGTGTGTTTTGGCTTTTTTATGTGGCTTTTTGTTTCTTTTTCGTTTTTTTGGCCCTGCCAGGCGAGTGTGCCTGGGCAACTCTGGTAGCCTAGCTTACATGTTTATTGACTGTATTTGTTTGTTTATAGATTTATTGATTTTGTGCGTGTTGTGTGTGTGTGTGTGTGTGTGTGTGTGTGTGGAGAGCGCGCGCGCGCGCGCGCGAGAGAGAGAGAGAGAGAGAGAGAGAGAGAGAGAGAGAGAGAGAGAAGCCTATGGTCATGGCTCCATTCCGTTGTCCGGAGCATCAGGGTAGTTAAAACCTCAGTTGTTAATAGCAAGAAGTGCCGAGAACAAGGACGAGGAGGGGAGGTATCTCGAGATATTCTGTTATTGCCATTATGGTGGCCATGACTTGCTTTAGCTCAATGCTAGAAATTTGAGCAAGCTGTGTTGTGTTTCTGTGTGTATCCTGTTGCCAGATGCTTTTGGGGAAATCAGGCACTGGCATGCAACATCCGGAAAATGTTTGAACAGAATTGTGGAGGAGGGAAACCAGATCTACACAATCGAGTATCGAACCAACGGTCAGCATTTTGCAACAGCAGGACGAGATTGCACGGTTAGCCAACTACATACATCTCACATGGGAGGGTGGTAGATTCTCATCGTATCACCCTCTCTCTCTCTCTCTCTCTCTCTCTCTCTCTCTCTCTCTCTCTCTCTCTCTCTCTCATCCTTAGCTAGATTCGCTAAGGTGGCAGGTGGGCACTGGGGATCTGTGATCTCTGCAGTGTACCCTCCGTCGGGAGCTCTTTAGTTTCTTTAACAGTTTCTGCGTACTCAAATAAAATTTTCCGCAGTTTTTTGCGCAATCGGATTTTTTTCTCAAATTTTTATTCTCGGAATTTGCAGCTGATATTACCATTCTGTTTTTTTGTTTATCAGTCTGCCAGATCTGTTTTGGACTTATCAGACTGTCAGATCTGTGTTTAGGCACCTCTTTTTTCGCTCCTTGGATCACGGTTTTTTCTTTTTTTCTTTTTTCTGGGTTTGTGCCTTTTTCCTGAACAACGAATATGGACAAGGGTAGCAGTCTAGTACGGCTGAACTTTTTTCCTCGGGAAGAGTATCGGACCAGAAATCCGTCATTTTTTAGGGAACATCACTGATGACGGGAAGGCTACTGTGATTATAATTTTTTGAAGTGGTACGAAGGAGCTTAAAAAAACGTACGCTAGAAAAAGCAAGAAGAAGAAAAAATAGGGTTTTTTGCGTTTTTTTGCGATTTTCTGTACATGGACCTAGCGCAGGATAGCGACTAGGACCACATGACTGGACCGGAGGGAATGAGGCACCTCATGTACTTAGTTCTTTTCCCGTATCCACGAGAGCTTTACCGCTTTTTTGCAAAGGTGATATATATATCGTCATATATATATATATATATTCTATTTGTGACGATATATATAATATATATATCGTCACAAACAGAACTGCCCGGTAAACCGTAGGCAGAGAGAGAGAAGAGGACAACAAACGATGGGCTGTGACAAACTGTTTCGTCGGAGTTTCACCGATATATATCCAAAGCGGGAAATCTTTTGAAGCACCAGCGGCCGCTGGTCCGCATACGGGCATGAGATCTCTATAACGTATCTTGATGGGAAGGATTTCGACTACCAGCACACGGATGAAGATATAAGTGTCTCTCTCCAAGATTAAGATAGCGTGAGCAACGTACCTCCAGTACGAAGGGTAACGCCGGGGATAGACTTCTAGACGATGCTACGTAGGAAGCAAGGCATGGGAGAGTGGAACGACGAAGGTTTTTGTAACAACTTTTTGTTCGATAGGGCACATCGTAGTGTTTTTTGTAAGAGAAGGTCATACTCTTACTAGGAGATTACCTCCTGATGAGACCCGGATTGCGCCCGGGTCGAAACGCGTCGAGGGTTAGCGCAATTTTTACGGTGTTTGGATGATCAAGTTGGAGTGTATCGTCTGTTTTTCGGTTAACTTGTCGTCTCTCCGTTTGGTGTGCAGTGTGTGGCCGCTGTACTTGCCCCTGAACTCTCTCTCTCTCTCTCTCTCTCTCTCTCTCTCTCTCTCTCTCTCTCTCTCTCTCTCT